AAATGCTGGCAAACGGGACGAGATAAATTGGTTGGCATGGACAAGTTGGGCCAAAGGGTCTGTTTCCATGCTGTCTGACTCTATGGCTCTATTGCTGTCGGGTTCAGCAGTTTGAGAGTGTGACCTCTGCCCCCTGTTTTCGTCTTTTCAGAGTTCCTTCTCCAGGCTGTTGCTTCCGCGCAGCACACTTTGTGCTCAGACCGCGGCTCGATTGACATTCACACCTCGTCCATCCCTCTCTTAATTTACCCGGTCACGATTCTATTTAGCCCGGCTCCCTCTGAGCTATTCCCTTTCTCTCCTGCCCTCCACCCTATTGTCGAGGCTCATTTCCCACCCCCTCTCCTTTACATTTTCCCCATCCTCTCGTTTGTGAAACTCCGTGACGTCGCGGACGCCTCCTGATTTCGCTGGAATGAATCTGGAACCTAAAATGCCTTCCTGCCTGGCGTTCTCTCACCTTTTCTCCTTCCTTTCTATAGTCTCCAAATCAGCTCTGCCTGCTTTGTGAAGATTCATTGAGATAAGGTCGGATGGGAATCTCCATCGTTTCGAAATGGTTTCGGATTGAGACGGATCGCAAGAGGTAAAGAGGGCTTGGTGTGGATCTGACTGTTTCTTTCTGTACCTTACCCACCCAGACACATACGTCACCTCACCTAACCTCTTCTTATCCATTGGGCCAATGGGGCTGAGGAGTGGCAGATGGAGTTTAATTTGGATAAATGCAAGGTGTTATATTTTGGTAAAACAAACAAGGGCAGGACTTACACAATTAATGGTAAGGCCTTGGGTGACTGTTGTAGAACAGAGAGACCTAGGGGTTCAGGTACATAATTCTTTTAAGTTTGAGTCACATGTAGACAGGATAAAGGCATTTAGCACGCTTCCCTTCATTGCTCAGACCTTTGAGTATAGGAGTTGGGACGTTATGTTAAAATTGTACAGGACGTTGGTGAGGCCTCTTCTGGAGCACTGTGTCCAATTCTGGTCGCCCCGTTATAAGAAGGATGTTATTAAACTGGAGAGGGTTCAGAAGAGATTTACCAGGATGTTGCCAGGAATGGAGGGTTTGAGTTATAAGGAGAGGCTGGAACTTTTTTTTAACTGGAGTGTAGGAGGTTGAGAGGTGACATTATGGAGGTTTATAAAAGCATGAGGGGCATAGATAAAGAGAATGGCAGGTGTCTTTTTCCCTAGGGTGGGGGAGTTCAAGACTAGGAAGCACATTTTTAAGGTGAGAGGAGAAGGTTAAAAAAAGACATGAGGGGGAATTTCTTTTAACAATTTTTTTAATGGTTAACATTTGTAGAGGGAGCTGGGAGACCAAGAAATCGGCAGCAGTCTGGGCACAGTCAATGGTGAGGAGGGGGGGCCAAAATGTTCTTGTTTGGCGGGAGGGCCAAGAGGGCAGAGGGCACCAACTTAAGGTGGTTGGCCAAAGTAAGCGATGGCGGCAGGACGCAATGCTTTCACAGGCCGGTTTGGAAGGCTGCATGAGTGCGGGCAGGAGAGTTTCAGAAGGTGAATTGGTCCATCGTTTCGAAGCGGAAACTCGACACGGAAACAGTCCCAGTGGGAATGCAGGACCCTGACAAAGCATTGACTCTGCATATTTACATGATGCCCAGTTTATCTAATTCTGCAGGATTTCGATCTGGGTGCGGTGACAGCATTTTAACGTGGGCAAGTGTGCCATCTACTCCCGCTGGCAGAGTCATATTCCTACCTTCCCTCGATCCACCTAGCCTGCAGGACTGTGGGAGGAAACCCATGCAGACACGGGGAGAATGTGCAAACTCCACACTGATAGTCACCAGAGGGTGGAGTCGAACCCGGGTCCCTGGCGCCGTGAGGCAGCAGTACTAACCACTGAGCCACCGTGCTGCCCAACAATGAATGTCACAAAAGGTTGGGGGCGGGTGAACCCCCTGTCCGAATGGGCAATTCCTTCTTCGGAGGGAGAAACCTGGCATCCTTTGCTGGTCTCTGTGAACTGAGACGGATGATCGCGAGCTGTCTATTGAAAGAATGTTGTAAACCTTCCAGTTTGTGGTCATTAAAAAGGGATGAAGAGAAACTGAAAGCTCAGATTTAAGGTGGAGGAGCCGAACGGGGAAACAAGTACTCCTCTTTCATTGAGTACAGGAGTTGGGAGGTCAAGTCGTGGCTGTTACAGGGCATTGGTGAGGCTACTTTCTGGGATACTGCACTCAGTCCTGGTCTCCCTACTATAGGAAGGATGTTGTTAAAGTTGAGAGGGCGCAGAAAAGATTTACAAGGACGTTGGAGGGTTTGAGCTATAGGGATAGGCTGAATAGGCTGGGGCTACTTTCCCTGGAGCATCGGAGGCTGAGGGGTGACCTTATAGAGGTTTATAAAATCATGAGGGGTATGGATAGGATGAATGGTCAAGTCTTTTCCCCAGGGTGGGGGAGTCCAAAACGTAGGTTTAAGGAGGGAGGGGACAGATTTAAAAGGGAAATGAAGTGTAACATTTTCACGCAGAGGGTGGTGTGTGTATGGAACGAGCTGCCAGAGGAAGTGGAGGAAGGTACAGTTACAACATTTAAGAGGCATCTGGATGGGTACATGAATAGGAAGAGTTTAGAGGGACATGGGCTAAATGCTGGCAAATGGGACTGGGTCAGATCGGGATGCCTGGTTGGCACGGATCAGTTGGGCCAAAAAGGGTCTGTTTCTGTGCTGGATGACTCTGTGAGTCAACAAGAGGCAGGAGTAGTGTTCCCTTCATCTGCTGTACACTGCTTGAACTTCAGAAATAGCGAAGAGAACGCACATACTTCCAAATGAAGCCTTACTCCGGGTCCCCTCCCTCTGTATGCCAGAATGTCATTTCTGAAAGAGAGTTAGAAACACTTCCTGCACCTACTCTCTCTCCCTTTCAGTGTTTCGTAGGCGCCAATGAGATCGCCTCTCCGTCATCAAAAGCTCAAAATTTCCAAGATCTTCCTTGAATCCTTTATGGATGAATGTTCGGATTCCAGTAGCTCGTTGCCCCCCTACATGGCAGCAGTGCAAACCAAACATGGCCGAACAGCCACGCTGGGTAATCTTAAAACAAAATACTTTGCCTTTCAAACAAGACTGTTCTTCTTGATTCGTTCCACTGGCACAGAAACACGTGACAATTGCACTTTCAGATAAGCTTGGTCTTGCATTATCAATACTCGGTCTGGGGGGGCAGGGGGCAGATCCAGGCAGCAATATGGTCGTAAGATATAGGGGGTAGTAGCGGGAGTAGGCCACTCAGCCCCTTGAGAATCATAGAATCCCTATGGTGTGTAAGCGGCCCATTCAGCCCATCGAGTCCACGCCGACCCTCCCAAAGATCATCCCAACCAGACCCACCCTATCCCTGTAACCCCTGCATTTCCCATGGCTAACCCACCTGACCTGCACATCCCTGGACTGTGGGGAACCGGAGCACCCGGGGGAAGCTGAGAAGGAATTTCTCCCCCTCTCTCCCGAGAGAGTAGGCTGGAATTCGCTAGCCCAGGGCCTAGTGGAGGCTAGATTGCAATGTAGTTTAAAGAAGAGGCAGTTTGATTTTTGAAATGTTGGGGACTGGTGCAAAAGATGAATTGAGGCCAGCGGGGTGTGGGAGGTGTAGATCTGCACTGATTGTTTCGCATGGTCAATAAGCTCAAGGGGCTGAATGGTTTGGTCCTTAGACTTAGGCTCTTGTGCCCATTTTCCTGACAAGTGCAGGGCAAAAGGTTTCCACAAAACATGTCTTTATTTTTCAGCAACTCGTGGCAACCATTTGATGCCAATCTAACCCATCTGATCCAAGCCGCTTGGGTGAACGTACACTCAATGCATCCCATTCAATCAATAGTGTTCCCCCCTGCAGAGATGAAGGGTGCCCGTCCTGAGAATAAGACTTTCATTTTACACACATCATTGAATGTTATAGAGCCATACAGTACGGAAACAGAGCCTTCAGTCCAAACTGAACTAATCCCATCTGCCTGCTCCTGGCCCATATCCCTCCAAACCTTTCCTATTCAAGTACTTATCCAAATGTCTTTTAAACGTTGTAACTGTACCCACACCCACCACTTCCTCTGGCAGTTTATTCCACACATGAACCACTCTCTGTGTAGAAATAATTTGCCTTTGATGACTTTATATAATCTTTCTCCTCGCACCTTAAAAATATACCCCCTAGTCTTGAAATCCTCCACACTATGGGAAAGACACCTTATCTGTGCCCCTCATGATTTTATAAACATTTGTAAGGTCACCTCTCAGCCTCCTACGCTCCAGTGAAAAAAGTCCCAGCCTCTCCTTATAACTCAAACCCTGCATTCCCGGCAACATCCTGGTAAATGTCTTCTGAGCCATCTCCAGCTTAATAACATCCTTCCTATAACAGGGCGACCAGAACTGGACACAGTACTCCAGAAGAGGCCTCACCAATGTCCTGTACAACCTCAACATGACGTCCCCAACTCCTATACTCAAAGGTCTGAGCAATGAAGGCAAGCGTGCTAAACACCTTAACCACTCTGTCTACATGTGACACAAACTTAAAAGAATTATGTACCTGAACCCCTAGGTCTCTCTGCTCTACAGCACTACCCAAGGCCCTACCATTAATTGTATTAGTCCTGCTCTTGTTTGTTTTACCAAAATGCAACACCTCGCATTTATCCAAATTAAACTCCATCTGCCACTCCTCAGCCCATTGACCCAATTGATCAAGACCTCTTTGTAATCTTAGTTAATCTTCTTCACTGCCTACTGTCCCACCAATCTTGGGGTCATTGGAATTCCCTGCCTCCAAAAGATTCAGAATCTCTCGATATCTTGAAGACAGACGTTAGTAGATTCTCGATCACTGAGGGGGGCTACGAAAGATTTTTGGAGAGGATATACAGAAACGTAGAGATCAAATTAACATAGCTCATTGTTGAACGGTGGAACAGGCTCTCGCACCCTATTCATACACATCACAACAGGGGACAGTTGGATAATGAAATAAAGTGTTTTTAATACTATACAACAGTCGAACAATACATTAATTACACAGACACACACACACAGACACACACACACACACACACACACACACACACACAGTAGGCTTAGAAATGCACAGTACCCTTGGAATTAATACCACTGTGCGAGACTGACGGAGTGGAAGTGGGGTGAACAAAAAAGACAAAAAGGTACTTACAACAGTCAGAGCGTTAAAAAAAGAATAAAGTGCCTGGATCTCCGTCAGTCTCTAGCACAGGTTCTGACTGGCAATTAAAATTTAATGCCACCCGCTTCCCCACCCTCTAGGAAAACAAATTCCCAATTTCCTCGATGTTCCAGCTCAGACGGCGAAAAGATAAGGAACACGGAGATGACCGGAAAAGGGTGAGAGGAGAAACAGCAGGCCCGGATGGATACCCGACTCAGGGGGTATGTGTGCAAAGAGCCGGCTCCAAAGACTCTCTCACAGAGAGGTGATGGAGTAGGAGGGGAGTGGGGGGTGCTGTTCATGTCGGTCTGGTGCTCTCTCAGACCCCTCGAGGGGGGGGGAAGAAGGGGCAGCCAGTGCCCCTGGAGGTAACCGAGGGGCGAGTGGGGCACAGTCACGCAGGACTGGGCGACAGAGGAGAAAGTGCAGAAAAACTTATAAATTAAAAATAAACGGCCAAACCTAGCTGGGGGGGGTTAAATCAAAAAAAAAATCTCCCATTCAAATTCAATCTCGGGCGCAAACTGCCCTGGGCTTTCATCCCAGGCAAGGCGCAGAGGAGAGAAGCTCGCTGTCTTTAGCGTACAACCCATACCCTTGGGACAACATTGGAGCAAGGGCTGCCTCGAACATTCGCAACGGGCAAGAGCAGGGTCGACCACGAGGGTCCTTCAAACCCGCACCGAGGGCGACCCGCGCCAGGGAGGGAGGAAATGAAACAAAAAAAAATCAAAAATGGGTGCTTGACAGCTCCAGGGAACTCAGCCTACTGTCAGTGCAATGGGGCTGGCAAAGAAGAACCGTAGGTCAGATGATTCGATACCAGGGCACCGTTCCGTGACGATTTTAACGAAAGGAATGCGGCAAACGATCCCGGGCACTCTGTCCATTGGCAAGCCTGCCAATGTGAAAATCCTCACAAGGGACAAGGCACAAATCACGCCAGGATCGAATGACAATTGACGGTCTGAAGATGGCGCGGCTTTTCCAAAAGTGCTCAGCTCAGTTGCTGAGGGAACGAAAGATTACACCAAAAACAAAAACAAAAACAACAACAACAACAAAAAAAAAACCCACCCCGTAGGCTGGCTGGCAGCTTCGGGGAGAGGGACCTCGCGCAGAGCCTGCCCGCTAGGCCCAAGTGTGCAAACTGGGGCCTTAACAGCCCTAAACGGGGCCCATTTAGGCTTGTGACAGAGGGAGAAAAATTTGGTGCGACTTTGTTTACAACCTCCCCCAGGCGTTTTCTTTTCAAAAGTAAAAAATTGTGACCCATTTGAAGTTTGTGCCTGTGCCAGCACATGGTTCCTCTACCTCCTATAGCAGGGAGGTGTCTAAAAAATGAAGGTTACAAATGTAACAAGATTGTGGGGGGAGGGTGGGGCGCTGTGGAATGTGTACAAATGTGGTCAGTAACGCGTTGGAGAGGATTTTGTGGGGGGGGTGCCATCTTGGTGTTGCCCTTCAATGAGTTATTAATACTCCAGGGCTGATGGTGACGACTAGGCCTCGCAAAGGGTCACCCTTTGGAGGTTGGTGGGGAAGAGACGACAGTGCAGCCTCTCTCGCTCACTTTTTGTTTTAAAGGGGGGAGGAAGAAAAAACATGGGAGGGAGGTCAAACTGTTGGCAGACAGCGCTGTGAGTCACATTCAGTGGTGGCGCCATGAGCGAATTCTCTGGATGCCTTTCTTCTTCCTCTCCCTCCCCACCCAGAGCGGTTTCCATGATCCCGGAGTGCAGAACCTCGCCTCAGGTCGTCCGCGGCAAGAATTTCTCCCGTCGGCCGCTCGGACAGATGTTTGCCGGTGGCCTACTGAGCCGCACTTTCACCCCCATTTCTGCCAAGCCCAGAACGGGAGGCTTGGCCTTCATCCCAAGATGGCGATCTGCTCCCCTCACTTGGCATACGAGTGGTGGTCAGGGCACAGGCACTTCTCTGCAAACTTAAACAAAAAAGACAACAAAAATTCAAATAAACAAGGAACAACGGCCTTTTCTTCCCCTACTCACCACCACCCCCGCCTCAAACGAAGAGAAACAAAACCGCAAAAAGTGTTTTGGCACCAAATTTTTTTAAAAAAATCCACACGGAGGAGAGGGAGAAGAAAATGTGGAAAATGGCTTTACTTCTGGGGTTGGAAGAAAAATAGAAATTAGACCATAAGAGAGAGAGAGAGCGAGCGTGCGCGACAGCGAGAGAGAGAGAGCGTGCGCGACAGCGAGAGAGAGAGCGAGCGTGCGCGACAGCGAGAGAGAGAGCGCGAGAGAGAGCGAGCGCGCGTGACAGTGAGAGAGAGAGCGTGCGCGACAGTGAGACAGAGCGCGCGCGACAGCGAGAAAGAGAACGGCGCGACAGCGAGAGAGCGCGACGGCGACAGCGAGAGAGAGAGAGTGACGAGCGAGCGAGAGCGCAACAGCGAGAGAGAGAGAGTGACAGCGAGAGAGCTCGGAGGGTCGGATTGGGCTGCTTCCCGCACCCCACACCCCACACCCCACACCCCACACCCCCCGCCCTCCTGGGGGCTGCTCACAGCATCTTGGTCCTCTGGAGGCCTGTGCTGAAGTAGCTATCATCGCTGGCGTTGGCTGCTTGGTTTATTGGAGTCACTCACGTTGCCTTCGCCGCTGCTGCTGCTCCAGTCCACGTCCGTGCTCTCTACGTTCACGTATACATCTTCTGCAGGAGCACACACAGAGAAAGGTCAGCCGGGAAGCCCCGGGCAGGATCAACACAACAGACCAGGAGGGTTTTCCTGCTCCCAGCTCATTGATGAAGAGGTTTCCAAAGCCTCCTGACCTCTCTACGCGTGAGTGAGAGAGATTAAAAAGTCCTCCTCATCTGTCTTTAAGCGCTTACTTTGAAATAATCCCCTCCAGATGTCTCCTCTCCCAGTGCGTCAGCAGAGGCGTGTAATAACATCTCTGAACGGGCTCGTCAGAAAAATAGGTTAATTAAAAAAAAATGTAGACCCAGAGGGGCCCTATTGTGGCACAACGGAACTGTCTCTGCCCTGAGACTGGGAGTCCCCAGGTTCAAGACTCAGCTCCCCCAGGAGGCGTGTAACAACATTTTGTAATGGGTTGCTTAGAAAAATAGGTTAAATAAACAAAAAAATGTTAAATTCAGGGGCCATCTTGTGGCACAGTGGTAGCGTCCCCATCCCTGGACCTGGAGGCCCAGGATCGAGTCCCACCTGCTTTAGAGGTGTGTGATAACAACTCTGGACAGGTTGGTTAGAAAAATACATTAAATAACAAAGAAAATGAGCTCTTGCGGAGCAGTAGCCTGTTCCTACCCCTGGACTGCAAGCCTGGGCTCAAGTACCTAGATACAATAGGAACTGCCGATGCTGGAGAATCTGAGATAACAAGGTGTAGAGCTGGATGAACACAGCAGGCCAAGCAGCATCATAGGAATAGGAAGGCTGACGTTTTGGGCCTAGACCCTTCTTCAGAAATGGGGGAGGCGCAGGGGTTCTGAAATAAATAGGGAGAGAGGGGGAGGCGAATAGAAGATGGATAGAGGAGAAGATAGGTGGAGAGGAGACAGACAGGTCAAAGGGGCGAGGATGGAGCCAGTAAAGGTGAGTGTAGGTGGGGAGGTAGGGAGGGGATAGGTCAGTCCAGGGAGGACGGACAGGTCAAGGGGGCGGGATGAGGCCAGTAGGTAGGAGATGGGGGTGGGGCTTGAGGTGGGAGGAGGGGATAGGTGGGAGGAATGACAGGTTAGGGAGGCGGGGACAAGCTGGGCTGGTTTTGGGATGCGGTAGGGGGAGGGGAGATTTTGAAGCTTGTGAAGTCCACATTGATACAATTGGGCTGCAGGGTTCCCAAGCGGAATAGGAGATGCTGTTCCTGCAACCTTCGGGTGGCATCGTTGTGGCACTGCAGGAGGCTCAGGATGGACATGTCGTCTGAGGAATGGGAGGGGGAGTTGAAATGGTTCGCGACTGGGAGGTGCAGTTGTTTAGTGCGAACCGAGCGTAGGTGTTCCGCAAAATGGTCCCCAAGCCTCCTCTTGGTTTCCCCGAGTAGAGGAGGCCACACCGGGTACAGCGGATGCAGTATACCACATTGGCAGATGTGCAGGTGAACATCTGTTTGATGTGGAAGGTCTTCTTGGGGCCTGGGATGGGGGTGAGGGAGGAAGTGAGGGGGCAGGTGTAGCACTTCCTGTGGTTGCAGGGAAAAGTGCCGGGGATGGTGGGGCTGGAGGGGAGTGTGGACCGGACAAGGGAGTCCCGGAGAGAGTGGTCCCTCCGGAAAGCAGATAAGGGTGGGGACAGAAAAATGTCTTTGGTGGTGGGGTCAGATTGCAGATGGCGGAAGTGTCAGAGAATGATGCGCTAGATCCGGAGGTTGGTGGGGTGGTACGTGAGGATGAGGGGGATTCTGTTTTGGTTGCTCCCCCCCACCTTAGTGGTCGAGAACGCCCTCGACCGTGTCTCCCGCATTTCCCGCAACTCATCCCTCACACCTCCTCCCTGCAATAACAACCAAAACAGAATCCCCCTCGTCCTCATGTACCACCCCACCAATCTTTGGATCCAACGCATCATCCTCCGGCATTTCCGCCATCTGCATTCCGACCCCACCACCAAAGACATTTTTCCCTC